CATTTTCATGCACATGATTTTGGAGCAGTGAACAGGTGATTTTTGGGGGTGAAATTGTTTGTTCATTTATCAGCCATGCTAATTCTTTTCCCTTATGCTTCCTTATAATTGTACTCTCAGCAGACCCTGCAGAAATGGCAGGGAGCTGAAAGTATCTGCAGTGTTTCTTTTGCTTATTGCAAGGGCTGGAGAAGTTCAGAAAGCTCAGGTTGTTGCCTACAAACCCCATGGACCAGAGCCCAAAAGGCTGATTGCATTTTAGACTTGCCACTCTGCTTGCTGTAGATGCTCTACTGCTTTTCTGAGCTCACAGTACTAGGTGGATACCCTGGGTGACAGCACTATAAGCAAGTAATGGCCTGTAACTTAGTGCTGTTCAGCAAGAGCTTTTCAAAGCAGCTGTAAATGTGTGTTAGCTGTAATTTGAGATTGAAATAGTTCCTCTTTCTGCAGAGTCCTGGGGTAAATTCCCCAGCTGAGATGTACAGTTGCAGCATCTCTGACACTGGAAAAGCTCGTCCATGTAACAAAGATCTAAGCTTGGATACTTTATGGGAGTGTGGAGATTTACTGGTTTTCATCCATTTGGTCTGGACATGCTCATAAACATCCCAGCGGCCCAGTTTTCCTCCAGCAGTGGTGGTGTGGATCTGTGTTGGTGAAGTTTTATGACTGAAATTAATGAGCAGTGCATGTGCACCTCATTTGTGAGGTGATAACACCTCCTGGCCGTGCAACTCAGGCCCCTGGGCTTTGTAAGCAGCCAGGAGGAAAGACAGCAGCCTCTTAGCTTGGGCATCACCCTATGGATTCAGTATCTCCTCTGCGAGTGTTGGTTCCCAATTTAGGCACTCAACACAGGTTTAGGAGCCCTTTCCTTTACTCTGTATCTGCTGTTCCATTCTTCTCTCTTCCTGGCAGTGCAAAAGGCTGGAGTTACAATCAGCACTCTGTGAATCACTTAATTCCTCTGATAATTGCTTCTCCCATCTAGAAAGAAATGATGCCCTTCCCTGCTTTCTGCCATTTATAGAGAAGAGTCTGCCTGCTTCGTTTTTTTTCCTCTCAGCCTTACTTTTCACTCCTTTCTCAGTGAGATGGGCTTGCAGAGTCTGCCTCTGCTTTCCATTTGCCACGTGTGAGAGGCTGAGCAGAGGAACATTGTGTGCTGCCTCAGGACTCAGTGGGGCTGACCTGCACCGCATCACGGCGTGAGCAACTGCAGCCCCTGGAGGAAACTCATTCCTCAGGACTTTTCTAAATATCCGTGGTTATTTTATCTTTGTTTTTGTTTTGTTGTTGGTTTTCTTTTCTTTCCCTGGTGGACCATTCATTAAATTGTCTATGAGATCTTCTGAAGATAAATGTCGTGTAGATAAGTGCCCTGTGTTAACTCAGCACTTTGGTACGTAGAATTTGAAAAAATGGGAAACTTGGGAAAAAATGCTTATTGAGGGAACTGATCTGGGAGTAGGCATGGTGATTAGAGACGGTATTTGCCAAAGACTTACTGTTTGCGATCATATGCATTCTGAGGGTATGATTCAGCTTCCTTTGAAGTCAGTGATAATCTGCTGTTGTTTTGTGTGGCTGTTGGATCAGCCTCATTAAGATGAGCCTGGCCTCTATAGTGAATAATGTTTCTCCTTTTGGCTTCCAATAGAGACATCCATATGGCAGGAACAAGGACGTTTCCTTGCTCTTTCATGGTAAATATGTTTTCCTTTTGCAGCGAATCCAAGCCCTGCAGCTTGTGAACATTCCTTGCCTGAGACAGACTTGGGACTGGAGAAGTGGTGCTGCTGAGGAGAAAGCTGTAAACTCTGAGCCAGCCAGTGATCTGGGAACTTTTCTCCTTTTTGTGCTGCAGCTCAGAAGTAGCAGTCACCACCACAGGTCTCCCCCAAGACCTCACTCGCACATGGGACGTGCATGCGGTGGTGATCACCACTTCCCAGATGTTTGTTCCATGGAAGGGAGTCACTGTGCAGTCACAGGCAGTTAAATGCTGCTTTAAGGCAGTTTGGGGTATTTTCAGTGTCTCTGCTTTACTTGACACCCTTGATTCCTTGGCACTTGTACAGAAACCAGTCTGGCCTGCCTCTTTTTGCATATCTGGTCTTTTGTCTGTCTACCAGGGACAGCAGATACTAAGAAAGGGTGGTTGAAAATTGCTGAGGAGATAGTTTGTCTGTCTCTTCTAGTTCACAGCTTGAACCAAATATTTAATTCAAAACTCATACCAGCAAAACCAGGTGGTTTGTGGTGGATCAGAGTATTCCATTATCAGAGATTTGGTGTAGAAGGAGGTTCTTGAAAAAAAAACCTTAAAAAAAATTGATGAGGTGTATTTGATATCAAGGCATTATTTTAAACTGGAAAAAAACCCCAAACCCTGAAATAATTTGGTTTTTAAGCAGATGAGAGAAAGAATAGAAACAAGAATTCTTGAACAGAAAAGCAGACATATGCAGAAGCTCTCACAGCTCTAGGGGAAAGGGTTAAAATCCCTGTGGTGTCTCCTCTGGCCTTCACATTACACTGAAGAGGGATTTGGCCCAAGATCTCTTTTGGTAGAGACTCTGACTCAGAAAAACAGCCTCTGCTCATGGTTCCTTGCTCCTCCCTCTTCTCTCATCCAAGACTTCTCTGGGCCCGTTTCTATACTTAATATGTCAGGTCAATATTATTTATGTTGAGTTTAACTGGGTTCAAGCAATTCTGTTTTACATTGTGTTTTGGAGAGAGAATCCCCCTAACATTTATAAATGCTTTACACTGTAAAAAGGGGTTTTTTCACTGATGGGCTTGTTTCTTCTCAAGAGTTTGGACACTCTGTAGACTAATGTAGTAACATTTGTTTTCACAAGGAAGCTTGTGTTTGAGTTGTGTCTCACGTAACTGGGTATTTAGAAATCTATTAATTCATTCCAAAATGCTTGCTTGACCTATACTTGACTTGGGCTTACAAGAAATTTTATTATGCTACTAGAGCTTGGTCAGCTGTAAGTAACAGTATTTTGCAAATTTTACTCTTTATCATTGCTATGATTATCATTTCTAGAGCTGTAGAGTCTACAAGTAACAGAATCAGGGTGCAATATCTATTTTTTCTTCCCACAGGAAGAATCAACCACTTCTATAGTCCTCCACAGCATGACATTGTTTTTAGGAATATATGTAGCTTAAGATTTATCCTGTTCATTTCATTAATCAGAAGGGATTTTCTTCATATAGCCCACACACCTGAAGGTGTTTTTTCCATGTGGCATGAGGATTGGCTACAATGATAGTGCAGCCTCTAGAATCAGATTCCCTCTGGGTGAAATAATAATAAGCTGTGATTGCCAAGTCAAACATTCTTCAAGAGCAGCAGTGATTCAGGCTTCTAATTAGAACAAACCTAAAACATTCACTCCTGTGCTTATGTTTGACTAGAAATCTTACTATGATGCACTGCCGAAGCAAAACTGTATTTTTATTTGTATTGTGAATATGTGAACTTGCTCAGCAAAAGTTCTTGTGGCTGTAATTGATGAATCAAGCAATCTCACGCTTCCAAGCTCAACAATAAAGTAGAAAGCTCAAACTGCTTTTGTTTTTTTTTTTTTGTACAATAAGGAAATTTAGTCTGCCTAGAACAACATAGCTGTTAGTCACACAGGCTGTGCTAACCCAGGCCTTGCTCTCACTGAAAACACCTACATCCCAGCTGTATTTCTGTAACAGTGGGAATAATGAACCGTGCTACAGCTTTCTGTCCTCAGTTCTCAATTAAATTTCTTACAAGAAATAGCTTGTATTGCAATATGTGTATTGTACTAAACCCATGGGTTTTAAAGTCATCTTCAGGTATAAAACCAAAAGCAAGTTGGTTTAAAAGCTTTTAACTTCCTGTATATTTCTATAAACTCAAGTCTTGAATTTGAGTAGATAATTTTTTTTTTTTGAGGTTATTTTCTGTTCAAGATGGTTGGAAAACTGAAATAACTGTTTGAAAAACCTGAAGTTCTAAATCAGTTGCTGATTATCAACTATCTGAAAAAACGCATATGTCAATTTTATTGATGGCACTTCTCTTCACGCTCCTTGGTTTAGTGAGAGGTCTGCTAAGTTCAGGGGTTTTGAGAAGATGGTGGGTATTGGATCTCACTTAAATATGGACTATAAATTTTGGTTCTGATTTTCAAATGGTAAAAATTCAAAAACTGGGGTCTGCCTTTTAATGTATTTTTCATTTAAGTAATATTTAGTGATTAACTGGTTAAGCCTCTATATATTACTAGCAGGATGTGTTTCCTTCTGGGAGACAGGAATTTCACATAACTTAAAATGAATAGCTGCCCGATTTGAAGACAGAATAGATTTTAAAGAACACTTTGAGGATGCAGAATGCTTGGGACAGAAATTCTTCTCCTTTTGCATTTTCAGTCTTGTCTCTTGGCACAGCTGAGCTGGAGTGTTTATTCTTTCTTTGCCATCTCCCAGGAGAAGCGAGAAATGAAGGTTGCAAATAAGAATTGTCTTATTGTGTGTAAGGGTGGTGTGCTGAGCAGAGTTATTTATCGGTCTTCATGTCACTCCAAGAGTGGATGTTACAGATTTATAAAATCTGCTGATACACTTTCAAGAAGTTAAGTGCCTTAGCTTTTATATATCAATAAATTTTCCACAGCTGTGGATGCTCAGAAGCACGTCTTGTGAAATCTTCACATTTTAGTTAAAAAAAAATATAAAAAATAAAAAGGGGGGACAGTAAAAAAATCCGAAGAAACTTGTCGACCTCATAGCCAAGTTCTCCTCCAAATACTTCCAGCTGCAGCTAGAGGGATGAGTCATGCTGAAAGCTGAGGAGCTTTTCTAAAAGCCTTTCACTTGGTTCACATGACTTTTTTTTTATCTTTTTTTTTTTCTAATTTTACATTCCTGTCTGTTTTTCTTTCCTTAAAAAAAAAAACAACAAAAAAAACAAAAAAAAAAACCCCAACCCAAACGTGCAGGCGAGTCACCCAAGGAAAACCCGTACGAGGATGTGGAGCTGAAAGGCCGTCACGCTGGGCGAAAATCCCATCAGCTGTCCGAGAACTCCCTAGATTCCCTGCACAGGATGTGGACGCCGCAGAGCAGGAAATACCCAGCCCCTCCTCAGGTAAAGGCAGCGGCTGCTCGGGGCTGCCCCGGCCCGGCCCGGCCCGGAGCGCGGCGGAGCCCCCGGGCCGGGCTCCGACAGCTCCGGGCGGCGGCGGCCCCGCGTCCCGCAGGGCTCCGAGCTGCCCCAGCACAGCCCTTCCGCTGCTTGTTTGAATCTGCGCCTCACTTAACTCCTCGTGTGGCTGCAGCGCTCGGGGAATCGCCTTGCTGCCAGGCAGGGACAGCACGGGAGAAATCAGCTCTGCTGCTTTTGTCTCGCTGTTGGGCCTGGTGTGGCTCTGCTCGTGGGAAGTTTGTAGTGTGTGGCGTGTTTCTTGTAAAACAGAGAATGCCAGGTAAAAGCCCTGAATATATACACAAATAATAAAATAGTCAGAGAAACCTGAGTGTCTGCAGTTAACAAGGCTGTATAAATTGTGTTTATAGTGTGAAAAGAAAGATGAGGAGCTCTGCAGACTTCCCCTTTTGTGGTGAATTTTTTTCCAAAGCAAGCCTGTTCTTTTGTGAACACCATGAAATAGGTTGCTTTGTTGTTTATGGGATCACTGTGTTCATAAGAAAAAATACAAATCTCATCATATGCTTAATTTTGAGATTCAAAGCACCCTTAAAGGAACTTCACTGCACTGAATTAACAGAAAAATTGCAGTTGAACAAAAGGTCACAATTTACATTTTTGTCTTGTGAAGAGACCTAGAAAGAAAACTGAATGCATTTTCTGTCACTTGCATCATAATCCAAGAGACAAAAGAAGCATCACCAGGATTCTTTGTGTGCTCCTAGCACAACCTTTGTAAACCAGGAGTGACTTCAGCAAAGCTGCTGGAAAAGGAACAGGTGGAAAGTGGTAATCAGGCAGAGTAAGGAGAAATAGACACTGCAGTCATCAGGATAATAGGGAAATGTCCCTCATACTGGGACATGGTGCATAACAACTATTCCTTCTGGCTGTGTGTGTGTTCACAGGAGTTGTGGAGCATCCAGAGGATCCCTGAGGGTGTGTCATTAGGCTGGGAATCATACACATCCATAGGGAGACACTGGCCAGTGTTACCTCTTTAACAGAAGGTTACCAAAGAATTTACAGATTTAAATGGCTTCTGTAAAGTTGTTCAGTAAACAAGAACTCTCTGGTACCCTTTGCAACAGGGCTGTCTTTATTCTGGTAGCTTCTTTTTGAAATGCTGCTGGCAGTGCCCTGACAGGAGTCAGTCCTGCCATAATTGCACTGTCACTGTGCTGATATTTAAAATGAAGTGACACTAAGAATGGGTCAGCTTTGGGCCTGAGTAATTCTCCAATGACCAGAAATAGAAAAGTCTGAATTTTCTGAAGAATGGTGGCTTTGGCAATGATCTATCACCCAGTTTTTCCATCATAGCAACACAGCTGGGTTAGCAACATGACTTTTCAGTCATGGATGATGATAAACAAGATGGAAGAGATCAGAAGGTCAGTGAGCTTCCAACAATCATCTCCAAAAAGAATTCCTTTCAATAAAGTATAGACTGCCACCAGTTTTCCTGGTGTGCTAACCTGTGGTATGCAGCGACCTCAGAAACACTGGTGGTGTGGTCTGTGTCTTTTCCTGTTGATTATTTTCAGTTTTTCAAGACATCAGGTACGAAAGGAATGTTATATGATGACATTGTATTTGTGATGCAACCCCTCTCCACAGAAACACCTGTGCTTAATCCCAGGTAGGATGGCACTGAAATCAGTCAGCCAACAAATGGGACATTTATTGCTGCAGGTTTATAGCTTGTAACAGAGCTGATAGAATATTAGTAAATGCCAAATGACAGATGCTTGATGTAATATTATTTTTTCCTGGACGTGCTGATGAAGCTTCTTTACAGTGCTTGTGTTTGGGAGGAAAAGGCAGAAACCTGGAGCTGGGCAGAGCTGCTCCTAGGACTGCTCCAAAAGACCCCCATTTTTTTAAAGACAGATGTTACCTGGTGCTTAATCCTTCAGTGAGATTTTCCCTTTGCCCTGTAGTGATAACAGTTTCATGTTTTAAAGGGAATTCTTTGGGAATGCAGGGAGAGTTGTAACAGCACCTCTGCTCATTGTCAGATCTCAAAACTTCTTAACACCATGAAAACAGAACAAGCTTGATTTTTCTTGGATAAAAAAACATGAATTTGCTATTTTAGTTATTACTTTTGCACTGAATTAATATTACACTGAATTGTGTAATGACTCTTTATTTTCACTCCTGCAAGTCAGAGGAATGGACCAGGCCTGTTGGGTGAGTGCTCTGCTGTCAGCCAAGCCTGACAATCAAGTTAGATTTCAGGGCTCACAGGACTGATGGGATGTGTGTGCATGGAAATGTAGCAGGTCAGAAATGGTGTTGTTTTCTTTGAACTTTAAAGTCTTTGAGGCTGACCCCTGGCCCTTCACCGTGACCTCAGAGCCTCTCTGGACACACATCCTGCACAGTGGTGCTCACCTGGCGTGGTGTCCCTGTGCAGCCACCACTCTGTCACAAGAGCTGCCTCTGCCCCAGGAGTTGCCAAGAGGGGCAGAGCTCAAGTTGTTCTTGTCCCTGCAGCTGCCCTCCAAGGCCAGCAGCCACTCCCTGCGCGTCGGGAACTGGTCAGAGAGGAAGAGCCACCGCCTGCCGCGGCTGCCCAAGCGGCACAGCCACGATGACATGCTGCTGCTGGCTCAGCTGGGCATCCCCTCGTCCCCTTCCAGCCTCAACGAGGACAGCCTGAGCACCGCAAGCGAGCTGCTGTCCACGCGGCGCGCCAGGAGGATCCCCAAGGTACTGGGGTGTCATCAGGCTTGTGCTGGGGAGAGGTCACCTATCTCCTGCGAGAGCTTGTGCATTTCTAGCCAGCCTTTAGACATCACTGAAAGCTCTCTTTGTACCCTGAAGGAACATTTAGAGCAAAATCCCTTCCCTAGAAGTGATAACTTCCAAGTTCTCCAAGAGTAACAAACATCTGATGGCCATCTTCGCACAGAATTGATTTTAAGACAGCTCTGTTTTCCACTCTTCTTTAAGCTCTGTGAACCAGAGCATTGCTGTGTATATAATAAGATTTTGAATGGGTGATGGCCAAGCAATTATTATTTATAACGTGTAGCAACATCTGAAGGGGTTTATTTCCCCATCATTTGTTTCCAGGAAAATAACTAATTGGCCCAATAGGTTTCCCTTCATTTACTCACAAGCGACCCCATCCTGATAACCATGCTGTCGTGATGCATTTGAAGTAAAACTTAATTTTTCATTTTTCAAGGAGTTTTTAGTTTCAGAATGGAATGTGAAAAAAACCCCCAAGCCACAAGACAACAACCAAAAAACCAACAATGCAATAGCAACACAGAGGGGGAGAACTGCCAATATGCTTCATTTTGGCTTGTGAACAAAGCTAATTTTTATTGTGTATTCAACTCTTTCCTGTTCTTATTAGAGAGCATATTTTAAAGTACATGGCTATAAATACTGTGAGTAGAGGGAAATTTTTGTGTTTCTGTGAATTTGTTGGAAATTCTGTTTAAGGAGGAAATTAATTCTACGTCCCTAATATTTACTGTATTTTTATTTTCTTGGAATATATTGTTATACTTCACAAATGGGCACACATCTCTGGAGGAAATCATAGGGTTACTTACAGAGTAACTTACTACCTGATTTTGAGTAAGACTTGGAAAGTTTGGCTGTTAATTTTGTACCAAATTTTTTTAATAGAAGGGACAGATAGTCTCCTTATGTGAAATTATGATTTCAGCATATGAATGTTCACAATTTTATTGCAAATCTTGTGATAATTTCTATTTTCTTTCTACTTTACCTTTCGGGATCACATATTCCTGGAGAGTATATTTTTTTAAATTGAGATAGTGTTAGTTATTAGAGGGAAAACTTAAAAAGGCTTTTTTTCACTCTGTGCTCTGTTACTGCCCTTCTGCTGTGTCTATAGCAAAGTGCATCTTTTCACTCAGTTTATTTCTTTCTGGAAGCTGAGGTGAAACAGCATTTGCAAACTCTTTTATAGTTCTATGAAGAAATCTGCTATGGAATGAAATATGTTATTCCTGATTTATAAAACATCATGAAGATTAAGTGCTACATATTTGTGTCTCTCCTGAAGTTATAATATTTTGTTTGATGTTGGATTCTTAGTAATCCCAGCCTCTTGCTGAAGACAACAAACAGAAGTCATCTCATTAATATTTGCCATCATCTCAGGTGTTTTTGGGGCAGACAGTTATTATCTGTGTTAGCTGGTCTATCATCCATGTTTTCTTTGAATACATTAATTAGAAGTCTCCTAGGAGGAAAATGTTTAGTCTTACTGATCCCTCATTTTCTTATTTTGCAGCTTGTCCAAAGAATTAATTCCATCTACAGTGCAAAAAGAGGGAAAAAACGACTGAAGAAACTTTCCATGTCCAATATTGAGACAGCGTCCCTACGAGGTATGGTTCAAGTATCATGGTTCAGTGAATCCATTTGGATGCTACAGGATTAATCAATTTCCTTTTTTCCTCCTCATATACCCTGGACTCCACTTATTTTAGAACTTTTTTCTGTTCTAATTTCTAAAATATTAGATAATGATAATTAAAAAATGATAATTTTCTCTCTGCAAGAAGAAAAAATGGGGATGAGCCAAAAATAAATGAGATTCTCAGTATTGTGTATCCTATTAATCCCATGGTCAGCTAGACTTACCCAGCTTCTTCTTTAGTCCACATTTACTGTAAGTTCTGTCCAAAATTCACAGTTTTTTCTGCAGTTCTTGCATGCTTTTTCCCAGCACTCACAGTGTGTAACTCACCCTGTGCTTCAGATTGCTTCTGGAAAAATGGGGGCCAAAAAGGAAATTCAGGCCCTGTTTGTAATAAGAGTACAATAGGGCTTTAATACAGAACCCCTCAGTAACACATTGTGTCATAAGGTTACTTTTGCCTGTTAACTCTAACTCAGTTTGGTGAGTTCTGGTGCTTGGGAATGTTGCCCAGGCAGACAAAGCTCATAAGGCTTACTTTGACTTCTCAAGTGCTGCATAACTTTCAAAAAAAAAAAAAAAAATTAAAACCTGAAAACAAGAAGTGAAAGGGTTAAGACCCACATTCCAAATGATGCTTTTGCAGCTCAGCATAGATGGGGATTCAGTGGAAACAGTTGTTGTAATGAATGCAGAATGAATTTTGCCCTTTCATCAAAATGAAGTTCTTACTCTCTAGCAATATTGAAACTGAATCCAAGGAAAACACAATCTAAGGAGTCATTCAAACTGTTTATTTCAAGATATTTTAAGACTGAGGAGAAGTGCATGTGTGTGTCACAAGGCTCAGAGATGTGAGATAGGATTTTTCCCAGTTGCAGCACAGCGGAGTTTGTTTGCTCTGGTTTTGCATTAACTGATGCCTCTCTGTCCTCTGCAGATGAGAACAGCGAGAGTGAGAGTGACTCAGATGACAGGTTTAAAGGTAAGGGACCAACCTTCAGTGACTTCTAGTCAGACCCTGTCACACACCTTAACAGTGTATGTTCTCCTGCTACTACACATTGTTCCTGGCCATGGCCTATATTATCTATAGTTTCCTAACTCCATTACTGCATTGCTCCCAAAGTCCCAACACAGGAGCATGAATGTAGAAAGCAAGGACAAAATAAGCTGTGAAGATCTAACAAGGATTTGGCAACTGTGTCTTTTAATGAAGAACAGGACCTTTGATAGATTGGCTTTGTCAGCCACTTCAGAGATGCTGATCTATTCCAGACTGACTACTGGGTGCCGGCTTAGAGGGATGAGATTGGATAAAGATGCTCCTTTCTTGTTCATATGCTGCTTTCAGTGTTTACTGCTCGCTGCTGTTGGAGGCAAGGATCTGGGTCTGATCCAGTGTTGTGGTTCTTAGACTCTTTTGTAGGTCTGCAGTCTTGTAGAAATTGTAAATTGTAGAAATTCCTTTATCAGCACCTGCACAAACCCAGTAAATTAGTCCCTCCTTTTCCTAAGTCTTGATACAGAAAGAAGCCTGTAAAACAGTTGAATACAGCTGCAACAGCATTGCTAAAAACCCATCATGTTAGTAGGTGAGGGGTAAAAAAGACAGGGGCATGGAGCTGTTATAAGATATGGGGCGATCATCCATTCCTATCTACTGCAGATGACACCTACTTACTGTACATGCAGCAAAGCTTTCTGGAAAACATTGTCTTAGGGAAACAGATTTGTGCCAGGTAGGTGATGGTAAGATCATCCAAAACAGGCTGTATGCAACATTGTACAGTCATGTGTGGAAAATGGCTCCTTGCTCCTTTGTCTACCTGTACCAAGCCAAAAGCATTTGCTGTTCTCTTTGTGTCAGAAAATAGAGGGGTTGCTTGTTGTCATAGGCCATGAAAGAAGAGAGACAGGGCCTGGCCCCTCTCTTGTTACTGGGAGGATATTCTGATCTCACTGGAGACTGGGAGGCTTTTCAGAGAATCTTCATCCTGATGTCTCTCTAACCAGCTGCTGCTGAGTGACTGTGTTCACATTGATGCTCTCAGGGCATCCTTGCCATGTCTAGCATGACAGGACTCACTGGGTGCCCATCTGGTGGGGTGGGCTCTTTGGTTTCACCTGCAGCAAACGTGAAGCAGTGGCTTGCAGTGTGGGGCTGCCAGCCACACAGGCTGGAGCAGGCAGGCTGTTTCTGGGGATTTAGCTTCCTTAGTCGTGCAGTCACATTGAGACCCAAGTGCTTTATCAAAATAATTTTTCTAATTTTTTTCTGCTGAACCAGATGTATGAGGGCTGGTCATCAAGGGCTTTTCCTTAGTGCTTATAACACCTTATTTCCCTGTCACAAGGGTCAATCAGCCTTTGGAAGCTGTGGGTACTGGCACTGAGTAGAGCCTGGAGGGTTTGAGGCGTGCTGCTAGCAGTTCCTTCCTTTGCCATTGCCTAGAGATCCTTGTGTGAAGAGCTGGGGAAGAGCATGTGGGGAGCTGCTTTTACTGAGCAGGTTTTGGGAGTTTTTGGTGTACCAGAACTCGTAGTGATGTTAATGACCAGTCCTCCATAGGTATCAAGCAGCAAGTCCCTGCATGAAGGCACATCTTTGCCTTCATGACCATGAATCTAAGATCAATTATATTAAATTAGCACTAACAAAGCAACCCACAGGAGGCCATTGGCACATCTTTCTTTCCTCCCTGCCCCCTTCCCTGGAGATTACTCCATGGCTTGCCTTATGTGGCTGGTAGCAAAAAGCTGTGATGTGTAGGGACAGGGCACAGAACTGTTTTTCACTGGGGTAAGCCAGGTCTCAGATGTGTCACCCTGGAGGCCCCAGTGCATTTGCACAACCACATAAGGGCTTACAATCCAGTTTTATGTGTGAAGAAAAGCCAGACCTTTGGTAGGGTAGCAGTTAAGAACTGCAAATTATTTCAGTGACCAAGTGCTACATAACTTCAGTACTTGGAGAGAGTTTTGCATTATGGGTGCAGTTAGTGAGAGAGGCTACAGAAGGTTTACTACTTAGAAGATTTGCTTTTGAAAGGAGAACACTGAAAATTGAAAGTCCTTTGTGAATGGCTGTGGCTTACACAAACACATTAGAGTCTCAGGTAATAATCTGTCTCTTTTTTTATTCCCTTTTCTTTTTAAATGGCAGCTCACACCCAGCGCCTTGTACACATCCAGTCAATGCTGAAGAGGGCTCCAAGTTATCGAACCCTGGAACTGGAGCTGATTGAGTGGCAGGAGCGGGAGTTGTTTGAGTATTTTGTGGTAGTGTCCCTGAAAAAGAAGCCATCTAAAAACACTTACCTCCCAGAAGTGACATACCAGTTTCCCAAGGTAAAGGAAAAATTCCTATGTACAGCTCATTCCAAGATCAGTAAGGTGAATAAATGGAAAAATGAATAGAATTCCAGTTCTTAAATGGAGCTTTCAGGATTGTTCCAAAGCAATCTGTTGTAAAGCAAAGGGCATAGAGAAGGTAACTGAAAGCTTTCTCTGCTTTCAAATTTATCTTTTCTAGAGCTGGAGAATTTGGCCTGATGGTGGATGCTTTAAGGACTGTGTTTAAATTCAGTTTCTAAATATTTCACTTTTAACTAATTTTGGCTGTATTAGGGTTTGTTCCAAAACTCGCTGAAGTCATTGGAAAGACTTTTGCTGATCTCTGGCATTTCTCTTTTGCTCTTGCAGCAGAAAGGTATTTTGAGTTAGGGCTGTGTTTTAAGTGGCCATCGTACAACAAGGGAGTTTCAGACAATTGAAAAAATGTAAAACCCTAGCAGTGATTATTTCTTTTGTGCAAGCACCTATAAGCCTGTCCTGGAGTCATGCCTCACTCTGCCAAGCACAAATACAGGACAATCTGATGGGCCCTGGCTCTCAGAGCTGCTCAGTGACCCTACCCCTGGGAAGGGACACTCCAGGGACTGACCCAACCTCACTTTTGTCCCGGCAGCTGGAGAGACCAACCAAGCAGATGCGGGAAGCGGAGGAGCGCCTCAAGGCTATCCCACAGTTCTGCTTCCCTGATGCCAAGGACTGGCTCCCCGTCTCTGAGTACAACAGGTGAGTGCTCCAGAGCTCCTCTGCACGATGGAGTGATGCTGGAATGATGCTGGAGTGCACTGGAGCAGCCTCAGCCTCGTCAATGCCCAATTAAGGAAGCAGCAGTTTGAGTCTTGGCCACTTTGTGATCAAGCAGCTGTATTTAATTTTTCTTTCTTTTGAAGTTCTGTGTTCTTTTTCTTCCCTATTCTGCCTGCCTCACAGGCCTGTGTGGCTGAGGGCAGGAGGTTTGAAGGTTCTTCTGAGTGCTAAACTCAAAAGAATAAATGGAAGTATTTTAAATAAATCTTTAGAAGGATGAGGCCCTGCCCACCCCCTGCCCTAGTCATTCACCTCAGAGAGCTTGTCTAACATTGCAGGTTACTCATTCATTTGGCTCAAAATGTTGCAGTCTGAGAACATTCTTGGAGCTGTGCTCTGTTCCAGCAGAGGAGCCCTCTATTCCTCCCATTGGAGATGAATGACTGCAGAAGGGCAAAGAAAAGGAGAGCCAGGCTTGTATTTTCTTTTTCATTCAAAGTAACCTCAAAAAAATGTATAATTTTTTTTTCCCCTGCATTGATACATGAGAACTGGTTGACCCAAAGGTGTAGAGTAACAGGATAGGCAGAAGGGATGGAATCATGGAATGATTTGTGTTGGAAGGGACCTTTAAAGGTCATCTAGTGCAACCTTTCTGCCATGGGCAGGGACATCTTCATCAGGCTGATCAGAGCCCTGCCCAGCTTGACCTTGAATGTGTCCAGGGATGGGGCATTCACCACCTCTCTGGACAACCTGTCCCAGTGTTTTGCCACACTCTTTGTAAAACACCTTTTTCTTTTATCTAGTCTCAATCTACCCAGTTTTAGTTTAAAACCATTATTCCTTGTCCTATTGCTACAGACCATATTAAAAAGTCTATTCTATCTTTCTTAGAAGCTCCTTTTATGTATTGAAAGGCCACAATAAGATCTCCCCCAAGACATCTGTAGTTACACAAACCCTGGCATTTCAGCACTAGGAAGTGTTTTATATAATGCAGTTTAAAACTTGCAAAGCAGTCAGGAATGTTTCACAGCCCAGGCACAAATTCACAGATCAGTCCTTTACCTGTGCTGTAACTGCAGCCTTAAACTGTTGTTTTACTGCTCTGTCACAAATGGTATTTATCCTAGACAAAGACATAAAATGAGTTGGATTTTGGAAACCTGTGTTGTTTCTGGATTAGAAAATTATTTCTCTACTCTCAGAGAATATCTAAGGTTTTATGAACAAAGCTTAGTCCAAAGACAGGATTATACTAAAGGTAAAGGAGCACTGGAATACTGCCCTCGGAATCTGATTCTCATGTTTCTTCTGCAGTCACTGACACTCAGCACCCATCTCTTTTAAGACACATGGGTTGTCCTTAACCATACTGCTAACAGAATTTTTCCACAGAGTGTGTCCTAATGATGAAGACCAGTGAGAAGCATCTCTCACTTGATGAGTGTCCCTTCCTAAGGGATCTATCTTGTAGCCATGCTGTAGTTCTGATGTAAGCTCTGGGCAATTCACTTTCTCCTAGTGAGACCTTCTCATTCATGCTGACTGGGGAGGATGGCAGCCGGCGGTTCGGGTACTGCAGGAGGCTGTTGGTAAGTACATCACCCTCCCTTCAAAGGGCAGAATTCTCTTAAAAAAGATCTCAAAACTACAGTCTGAACTGAAGGTGAAGGTGTATTTTTAAAGGAAACAGGGTTTTCTCACTCTGAAATTTGGAAATGTAAAATTAAATTAAAATAATTTGTAATGGCCATTTCAGTCAGATAGATCCCAAGGCACGTGAATTTCTGAGAATGTGGAAAGTTTCTTGTGTGAGCACTTCATAAATTCTTTGTTACGTACTTTCAAGCACAATCAGAAATACTACAACACTGGAAACAAAGGGAAAGCTGGTATTTCTAAACATTTGTGAGTTGTGTTTATCTCTTGGGCAGCTGCTTACATCTGAAAGGACTCTGCCAGTGCTGTGTCATCAGTCTGCAGCTCAGAGCCAAGCAACAGGCTGGTGCCAGCAGTGGGAAGTCTGGTTTCTCATATAATTTTCAGTCCTCATGACCAGGGGTGCTCAACAGGTGAGGTGGGGAGCCTACAGTGTTGTCTCATCAACTGGAAAACCTCTGGACACTTGATAAACTGAGAGCATTGTGTGTGTATCGGGGGGAGGAGTCTGCACAGAGGCTTGCAGGTGTGTTAGGGGAGGTGGAGCAAACAAGAATTCTGTTCTCATCCTGCACACCTGACAGGATGGCAGCAAAGCAGAAAACAGTTGGTTGTCCCTGCACTGGCCTTGCACCTCTTGTGTAGGTTTGGAGCTGTCTGTGAGTGACTGGGTGGGGCGCCATGGCTCCTGTCATGTTCTCATGACTTGTCCACACTGGGTTGGGGAACTTACATGGATATTGGATGCTGCAAGAGTCTTTGGCTGACTCTGTGTGTCAAATGAATGTCTACAGCAGTTTGTAAATAGCTCCCCCCTCTCTGAGAGTAAGGCACACTGACACTTTCCCCTCCCTTCCCTTTCTGGCATAATTTCCCACCTTTTCAGGCAGGGAAAACCTGCCTTCAATAGCTTCCAGCAAAGCAACTCCCTGTCACTAGCACAGCACCCTCTGTCCTGCAGTGCTGCTTGTGCCTGACCCTGCTCTTCCTCTGCTCTCTGTCTGGCAAAGCCCTTGGCGTGCAGACAGCAGATGCTCTGTCTGGGAGGTATTGCTGTGTGTGGTTCCTCTATTTGTAAGAAGTTTCATTAAGCTAACATAACAGAAAACTTGTTTATCAGTTCTGGGGGCGGTGTTTGCTATAGGTAGCCTCAGAGGGACTCACTCTGTATAAAACAGTGTCTCACAGGGGGCCACCACAAGGTTGATGTGTGGGCAGGAAATGTCACTGAAGGCTTGTGCTGCAGTAAATCTAGGGCTGGTCAGGGGGTAACTCAGGGATGAACAAGGAAAGCACCTAGAAGTCATTCTTGCTGGTGTAAATAAGCATAATGCTGTAGAGTACAGTACAATTACATTTTTTTAAATGAATTGTCATTTAAAAGGATAGTATGGTCCATTAGGGGAAAAAAATAACAAAACCTCAGAAAATGTTGGTTGGAATGAAATTATGGAATGTTTTCACTCTACCAGGTAAAGGTGGTTTAAGACTCTTATCTTTCTGAGAGTCTTGCACAGAGCTTGCCTTTGTGAAATGCCACATGGCTGGTCCTGGACCATGCTGAGATTGAAATAACCAGTGATAATAAAAGACATTTATACACAGGAATGTTGGATCAGTTTTTCAATGAAACATTACCATGGACTTTTTTTACTCATTTAAAGATCAGTGAAATTCACACTACAGTAAGGACAACATAAAAATAGAACACTGACTTTCAGCTGGTGCAAAAGATGGCTGAGTGTATTAGGAAATACCAGGAACAGAATTAAATCAATAGTGCACACTTTTATGTAATGGTGTTTTGAGACAGCATTGGAGATTTTTATCCTCCACTGGACAAGGCAGAAATCAATCAAACAGCAAAAAGAAAAAGGGAAGATAGATAGTGCTTTGTTAAATCTATCTAATAATTATAAAGCCAGTTATAAAGCAGATTTGCTGCTGCCACCTTTGGTGATCACTTAATTCAGGTTGCTTAATCTGGATTCCAAGCCCTGGCATAGAGAAACTGACATGTCTCACCCCACTGGCACAGCCTGCTCAGCCAAGGAAAGGAAGGATTGGTGCCAGTGCACTTCACCAGCTTTGCCCTTTATGGGGCAAATCCAGCCATGCCCTTCTCAGAGCAAAACTGGGGCTTAGAAAGAGAGGGGATTCTGGAAGCTGCAGAGAAACATCTCAGCATTTCCTCTACCTGTGGAAAAGGCAAAAGTAGCAGAGATCTTTTATTTGGGTGATACAACCTCCTTATGTCCTGCTGGGAGAACTGTGGAATCTGGGTGGTTACCTGAAGTGCATTTTCCATAGGGTTTGGCTGTGCTCACAAAGTGTGAGAATTTCATGTCCCCTGCAAAGGTTGGTGCATGGTGGGACAGCCTCACTGGTGTGTGCCTCAGTGTGATATATCTGTTTACAGAAAATACAGATTTTGTACAGGCAGCAAGGGGCAGGTAAATCCTGCAGGCATTCTTTATATACCAGTAACAGATTTTTGTGTTTGGGGGTCCAATTTCCTGAGCAGGTTTTGGAAAGTTAGGCCAGGACGGCTCTGATGTCCAGGAGGGCACAGCATCTCCTTCAATTAGTCCCATTCCTGACCTGCAAATTTTGTCAAATGCAAAAACCATAACTTGGGAACTACATGCAGTTTATAGCAGACATTATGTAAGGGAAAGGCGAGGCCACACGGTAACACAGAACCATGAAACCCCCCTAAAATTCTTACAAACTGCTCCACTTCAAGCCAAGCCAACTGCTGTGAGGCTAATTCCTTAGAAAATGTTCCCCAGCTGTCCTGGTGAGGGATGCTCTTGTAATACCCAGCAAGAGGTGTCTCACACCTTCTGGTGCATTTGGCAGCCTCGCTGGCAAAAGCTCTGTGGCTGGCTGATCCTGTGAGGATGGCTGGCTGCTCTTCTGCAGGGTCTGGTGTGCAGATTCCTGCATTTAGGAAACAATTGTGTTTTGTCAGCCTTGCTCTCCTTTGGCATGTTGTGATATGAACAAACTGTTCCACTTTTTCTCCTTCAGATCTCAGATTATTCCAGACCTTTTCTGGGGTCTGTGTGCCAAAACTACCTCAAGGGATACAGTGACAATTATGTTTTGTTTGTTCTACAAATCCTGTACAGTATCCCCATTAAATGTATTTATATTGTTTCGTTTCATTTTGGAACAGGATTAGAATGGAATGTATCGTATTGTCCCATGGCAGACAATCTGCATTTCCATAGATAGCATGAAATTTTCCAGTTACATCTTGATACCTCCAGGGCAATCCTGCAACAGCTTTTCTAGTGAGTGCACATGTCAGCAGCAGAGATGATTTGGGCACCCTCGCAGGGGCTGTTCCATCCTACACCTCTCTTCCCTCTCACATAAAATTTGATCCTCCACCACTTTTTTAGGCTAAGACAAGCCAGTCCCAGGAGTCCATGGAGGAGCAGAAGCCAGAATGTAAAGTGTGTACCTGAAAACATGGAAAGCAGTTGTTAGGTGGGACTAACCTGACATCCTGCATTTGTTGGGAGCAGGAGAAGGGCATTCATTACAATGTGAAAGCAACTTTTGTGGGATGCAGACTGTTTATGGAGCTACAAAAAGCTTATGGAAAAACTCTTTTTTCTCCTTGCTCCCTTCCATCCTGCCCTTGCCCAAGCAGTTTGACAGCCCTGTGTACACCGAGTGTTCTGGCACACAAGGTTCATGTTTCACAGAACAAGAAGTGCTTAACAAGTGCTTTTGGATTTACAACACCCACAGTTTTCTCATGGTCAGCATTTGGATTGGCCCTAACAAGGAATCAAGAGCCTCCATAGAAACTGGCTTGTGACTGACTATGCATTTTAGCCTCCCAGTGTTTGAATTGTTCTGATTCCTGGCACCACTAAGAAATATCTCTGTTTCTGGATATGCTGGCTAGTGCATGTGCTTTGCAAAGGCCACTTCCCTCACACAGCTCAGTGCTATGGAAGACTGAGAGGAGATCTCTGAAAGCTCCATAGAATCCAAGAACATGGACAAGGAGGTGGGATTTGAAAGAGAAAAATGGGAGGCTTATTTTTTGGAGCAAAAGCCTCTTGTTTCTCCTGCCAAAGATTTTGGAGTGGGCTTTAGTCAGTAATATTCAGATTAAATTCACTATAAAAAAAAATTGTCCTGAGCCACGTGTAGACCAGCCCAGATGCAGAGCTTGGCTTCTCCATCTCAGCCAAGTTCTTGTCAGTTTATGTTCATCATTCTGGGAAACTGCCTTGTTATCATCAAAACTCATTACCATTTTCATTTTGTGATACTGGACTAAGGCTGAAAACATCCTGGGCTCCACAAAAACAAATTGAAAGCAAATCAAACCCAAACCATCAACCCCTCCATCTCTCTTCTTTCAGGAGCAGTGCAGTGCCCCAAGTCAGAGTCACTCGGGTGCCTCTCAGCTGGGCTACTTCAGCATTTTGCCTTCCTGATCTGGACCTATTCTTTGTGTGCAGGAGTGAGCCTTGGATGAAGGACATGACTCCAAGACAGTGTAGCTACCTTGCAGAGCACAACCTGCACTTGGGAGAGCTCCCTTTTGGGAAGAGAGGACATGTCACTGGTACTGATGGGCAGACCCAGGGCCTGAGTCTCCCCTAGTGACGAGGGAGGAGTCCAGGCAGGAGTGTCATGTCCCATATGATGTTCTTTCCAAGGAAAGAAACAAACTAGAGCACAATGGGTGTTTAGATCAATCTAAAGTGGGGTGTAAACTGATTGCTGAGAGGAGAAGTTATGTGAAGGGTTGCCAGCGCTATAAATTTGAGAAGTTCTGCCCCTCAGAATGTCTCTGCTCAAGAGTTTTGCTTGCTGCACTTACAGCTGATGTGTGTGAATCTCTGAGGCTGTGATGCTTGCAGGAAAAGGTCTCTGAAATAACAAAAAAGGATGTTCTACACAGTGAGAGCAGGGGGGGAAGAATCCCAGCTCCCACAGACACGTAGCCTTTAAGACATTTGAAAGCAATGATATTTCATAAAGGAGAAACTTGGAGTAAGTGCTAAGCAGTTATTGTTTCTGGTCTTATAGATGACCCAGGAATGTGATGTTTTTACTGGCACTCAGTGAGACAGCTCTTGGCTGGGAGCTGTCCAAGGCTCCTGGCATGGCTTCGGCATTCCTGCAGATTTGACACAATGATTTTAACCAAAATCCCACATGCTTGATATAATCACTCAGTGCCTTTAGAAAGGATTTTATACCTAATATGGACAAAAAAGGGCTCTGCTTTTTCAGAGATGTGACGTGGAATGAGCAGGTTTGGATCCAGAAATAGACTCATCTGTATTCACTTAGCTTTGGTATTTTTTTTGTGGTCTTTATTATAACAGGCAGGCACCTGCTGACTGTCCAAGTCTAGTGTGCAATATTCAGGTTTAAAAAGCACAGCTACCCCTCAGTTGCTCTTGATTGTCATCTCTGTGGCATGTGAATTTCAAACACTCCACAGGGAAGTTGATCACTGTACCAGTAGAGTCCAACAGAGAGATAAAGATAAGTGGAATAGGCAGGGTAGCAGAGTCCAGTATGCTGAGGAAGTACCATTTGCTTCTCCAGGACAAATCTTATACAGGATGGTTATAGAGGATGGTCTTTACAGTTTCTCTTGGGGAGGGGGTAAGATGGATATGTATCATTGATTCATACTTGCCACTGTGTAAGTTATGTGAGTTCCATGTTTATCATGAGTTGGTCTAAGGAAGTTAATGATCATGCAGCCTGCTTTTGTTAAGGTTGTGAGCTCACCTTCTGCAGGCTGAGCTCTCTTTGAGCACCATGGAGTGAGGGAATGGGGACCTAAAGCCATCAGGGCCTCCCTGAGTGTTGCAGTTCTCCTCTTGCAGCACACGGCCCCAGGGTGGCCCTGCTCCTCGTGCTGCAGCAGGAGCAGGGGACAGAGATAGCAGAGGCATGAGTTACAGCCCTGCTTCCATGTGCTGGTGTGGCTGCAAACTGGAGCCATGCTGGGATCCAGCTCCGACATGCTGTGATTTCCAAAGGGGATAAGCTCTATCTGTGCTTTTTGGTTTCCTGTCTTTTGGAAGATATATGATGCTTCTCCAAGAGCAGCTATTTGTTGGAGAAGCAGACAGTGAGAGGTGTCACATGATGGCCAACTGTGTGGTCAGAGAGAGAAGTGTATTTCCTCATGGCTCTACATTAGTATGTAATTCCCATCTCCTCTTTGCTGTTATCAGCCCAATGGAAAAGGCCCACGCCTACCTGAAGTTTACTGTGTCATCAGCCGCCTGGGGTGCTTTGACTTATTTTCTAAGGTAAGGACATAGTTTTTAATATTGCTTTTTAATTTGATTGTTTACTGAGACACATCTGCAGTGATGAACCAGGCTGGAAGAATTCCTTCTTTTGATGGGAGATAACTATTTTACAGTTGCTGTTTTGGATATTCCATCCCTATTATTTGGTTCATCAAAGAATGTCTTATTACTTCTGTAACTGAGGCAGAAATTGATTCAGAAAACATCTGGGTGTCTGTATGATCTGGCTGACTGCAATTTTTTCCATTGTTTTCTACAACTGTTCTGTGCTGAGCTGTAATTCTTGGCATCCATAGTTTGGATGATGGGCCAGTACCACTTTTACTCCAACACCCTGTGGAATGATGAGGTTGAGAAAAAAGATTATTTGATATGTGAATTCTATACACTTAACACTAGTGACGCTTTTTTTTTTTTCACCCTAGGAGCCTAGGATAAAGCACAGATGATATTTTAATTAGCCCAATTTTAATTGATTGTGTTTTAATTTACCAGAGGTTTTCACTTCAGATATGGGAAATCTCTTATGACTTTCACAGATTTTACTTGTTAATTTTCATAGGAATAAAGTTGAAAATTGCATGTAAATCATTGATGCTAATAAAAAATCATAGCACTTACATTTTCAAATGATCTAATGTTCATACAGAATATTATCTTTAAAGCATGTTTCAAGTTTTTCTAGATAAAACTTTAACAGAAGCCTTATGTGAAGAACAACAGTTGGGTTACAAATAGTTAACTGCAATTTTGCTTCTGACATCTTTCATAAAGCTCTGAAATCAAGGGTTTGACAGTGTCTCTTAGATACAATATGTATCCAAACACAGATATCTGTGAGTGAAATGGAATGCATTATTCTGGGAGGATCACCCAGCTCACCACACTCGTGGTGTGGACAAAACTCGTGAGGCTCTTTGTTTGCTTTTATGTTTTTACCCAGTTTTGATAGTGCTCAGTTTTTCAAAGGAAGACTTGGGAGAAGGAAAAATAAATTAAGTATCTTCCTTACAACCAAGTATCACTGCAGCTGAGGTATAAGGTCGGACAGCTGGCCCCCAGTACAATGAATAGCTGTCTCTATCCTACACTGTGAACGATGAAAGACCGTGGGATGTTAGATCTTGGATATTATTTATCACAAAAGCAAAAAGATTCTTCTGGTTTAAAATGTTTATCATCCCATTGCTGATAACTTGCATTAATTTAGTCTTCCACAAAGCCTTTCCTGCTCACTCACTGTTGTAATACCTATTGCTCAGACAGACTTAAGAACCACAGATATTTTAACTTCCAGCCAGTTCATTTGGTCATGGTTTTGACCATTTTATCTCTTGGGATCTCTGTTCATGTTTTATTTGGTTTAAATGCTCCTTTTATTTGCGTTGTGAAGGTCCTTGGAGCCAGGCATATGACACACACACAACCCCAACCCCAGCAACAAAAAGCATCAAATAGCCAATCCTGTGGCTGCAGGAACAGAGCTGAGTGCTGGCAGCATGCAGGAGCACCAAAGGACCTGGGGCACAGCCCTGCATCACTGCTGCTTCCCAGTGGGCAGCTGGTTTTGTTTGCTGAGGATGGCTGTGCAGCAAATTACATCAAGAGTGAAATCCACGTCCTCATTTATTGTTATCCTCCACTTCCAAGGGCTGGAATGTGAGTTATGTACACGGGCAGCTCTGCTTTAGTTAGGCCTTCATTATGTCACAGGGAGGAAGGGGAAACTATGCACCAGTGAATGCCTCTGCTGGCATTTGGTGTCACCAGCTCTCGTTACAGGTCACCAGCTTGGGCTTAAGTGTCTTTTAATGTTCTGCTTCAGTGAAAATCATTTCCAAGAGAAACAAGAGAAAATGTCTGGCTCAGGCTCACTAACTGTTGTATGGCCTTTTACTCTGGAGTGGTGGTTAAAAGATCACCATTGCAGGTCAAACCACTAACTGCTTTGAACCTTGCTTTCTGTCTTTAGCTTTATCATCTATATGCTCTGCCTAATGTGGGAAAACTTAGCTGTGATCTAATTTATGTTGTCCCATGCAATCAGAGAGAAGAAAATAAAAGTTCCCTCTATCTTTAAGAAGTTCCATCTGGTTATTTCAAGGCTAGATTGCCTGCTGCTTCATCAAGAGAAAATTACCTTAATGCAGGCACCAGTGTGAACAGCTGGGTGTGCTTCAGGGGTCAATAGTGGTCTCCAGCTCAGTGCAGACTCTGACCCGACAGCCACTGCTGGGACCCTTTCAGGAGCTCTGTCCTGCTATCATAGTGGAAGCATTGCTTTCTTTGCTACTCTGGCTTTTTTCTGGCCTCTCAGTTGAAATGGAAGAGATGCTCAGTGCAGAAGAAAGTTTTTTCTTGATACAAATTTCAAGATGTACCATTGAGATGTGGTGCTGGTCTGGGCTGTGATGGTGGGATTTGTCTTCATCTTTCTCTCCTTCAGCTCACCATATTCTTCAGGCATAATCCCAACAATATACAGATCCCTTTAGTCATGTTGAGTCTTCTTCCTCTTTTCCAGATTTGTTAATTCTTCCTTGCCTCTGTGTTAATTACATTCACAAACAGGCTTCATTTTGTAACCAAAAAACATGGATTGATGGTAATGAAGAAACACATGACAGAAGAGATGTAAACTTAGATCTGCCACATGTTTAAGCACACATGGGTCAAAGGATGCTTCAAAAGTCTATGTGATGCTGACATGTTCTGTCTCTCTCTCTATCACTTATGTCTTACTCATGGACCAGATCCTGGATGAGGTTGAAAGGAGAAGGGGAATATCTGCTGCCCTGGTTTATCCATTTATGAGAAGTCTGATGGAATCTCCTTTTCCTGCACCTGGAAAGACAATCAAAGTCAAAACCTTCCTGCCTGGAGCTGGAAATGAGGTAAAAAGCAACTGCAAACATTAAAAACCAAAGCCTTACCCTTCAACACTCCAGCATCAAAACAGCAAAAGAAAAACCAGGAGGAGACAAACAGATCCTGCAGGGATGTGGGGTGGCAAACCCTCAAAATGAGCAGAGCATGAGCACCACTGTGGACATGCTAATGCTAGTTCCCATTGATAATTATAAGCCAATTTATGGTTATGTATTTATTATTTTATGTTTATTATTAAGTTGTGTGTAAGAAAAAACAGCCAACACAAATATCCCAGTGTGCTTGGCCTGGTGCAGTTTAGAGACTGCAGTGTTGCTGGGCTTTATCACAGCAAGTGTGAGTTTCCCATGCTGACTGTACCTGAGCACTTCAGCAGCTGCTTGTTATTTCAAACCTTGTTACTGCTGATCCTGGCCATGGTAGGAGTGACCAGCAGCATTTAAATGGCTCTCTTTGGTAATAAATACCTTTTAACTGGCCCTCAAAGAAAAACACGTCATGTAAAACTTTTGTGTGTGAGTGTGTATGCACATATAATAGATGTAATTTCTTTTTATTCCTGACTCAAGTAGCTAGAAGCTTAGCATTAGACATATGAAACATATGAAAGGGTGATTGGCATAACAGGGAAAAGATCTGACAACGCTTTTTCTGTGTGAATGTAACTGGGAGCTATGGATCTGTAACTTCTCTATCCTCTGCTCAAGCTTCTGAACTCTCCCAGAGAAAAATATTGAGATAATTCCAACAAACAAACAAACAACTCTCTTCTGGCTGAGCTTTTCTCTCTGTTGTGCTAGTACAAACTCGTTATTTGAATGGAATGCATTGGCTTAATTAGGAACAGAATCTTGTCCTTCTATTGTGGCTCCTCTTGCCTAAACAAAGAAGGCAAATAATTGGGAAGCAGACAGTATATTTCTTTGTGATGAGCAGACTGAGGCAGCAGGCTTTGCCAGGCAGCAGAAAACATCCCTGGTATTTGTAAAAGCTGCCATAACTTGCATTGCATCCTACCCTGCAGCAAGATTTTCGTGTTGGCAGGTTTGCAGTAGAATCAGCTCATGATTTTGGCACATACACTCGATTTGAGCTTGTGATCCCAGTGCTAAGGAATGGAAGTTAGCACCTTTGCTGATTGTGAGAGTTAGGCAGCATTCCCAAGGAGCCATTCCTGGTGCAGTCCTTCCACAATTTATTTCTTGCTGCTGTTTGGGGCAGCAGCTGAGTGATGGACATCTGTACATCATACTGTTCCTGTATTTCAGGCTTGAAAAATCAAATCTATTTGATGTGATATATACTGTTCTATGAGTGGCTTTCTTTTTACAGTTGTGTGTTACTGATCACAAACAACATCACAACTAAACTGATATGAACTTATTTTTATAGTATCCTGTGATCTTGAGCATATCTTTAAAACAGTGTTTGTGAGGAATTTTGTAAGTGCTACTCCAGTTAAAACCTGATTCGGTCTGCTTATGAAAGGTGGTGTCATGTGCATGAACACATAAAATTAGTCTAAAGCAATAAAATGATGGTGATTTTTGGATGTATTGAAAGAGGAAGATGTATGCATGTTCCTGTTAATATATGTTCAGAGATTTCAACACAGCTTCAAGTTGGCCAACTTTTTCCCTTTCCCTTCTGTTTCCTCAAATTCCTCAATAGTCCATCATTTGCTGTCTTGTGCTTCACATTTTTCTCCTTCTGTTACTCTCTTCTTCACATTATTTTTCCCTCTTCTTTTTTCTGTCCTCTGCCTTCAAGTTCCACATCTGAACATGTCAATTGCAGAGTAAAAGGAAGATATAATAAAGGAATCAAGGAAAAGGCATTTGGGAAAAGGAAGGAGAGGGCCTGAGGTCATGGATGAAGTATGAAAATTAGACTGTAAAGGGATGTCACAACTCACCATCTAAGACCTTGTCCTGACTCCCCAGTTAAGTATATATATATATATATATATGTACGTATCTTTATATGAAAAGAGAAAGGTTTTAAATATTATCTAGTGAATTACACATCACAGGAGAGTGGAAATGAAATAAATTTGGTTTAAAGTCTTCCTGGCCTTTTAGTTGAGTCCCAGGCTCCTATCTAGATGTTAATATGAATCATTAGCCAAGTTTAGAACCCAATTTACCTGGAGTTTATGGCTGTTTCAACCCCATAAGCTTCCAGCTCCAGTGGTTGATTGTTACTTGCTTCATACTCTTGAGTCAGCCAAGCTTTACATCTCTTACAGAATGTTTGGAAGGGAGAATTGTGCTTCCCTTGGAGATGACAGCAGACAGTGCACACAGCTGTATTCTGGGAAGAGTGGCACGAAATTGTGCAATACACCGTTTTTCTGGAGCACTGTGCCTGCAGCCTCAGTTTGCCCGAGGGGCTGGGTTCCTTCTGTGTGCCCTCAGCAGGCAAGCACGGGCAGTGCTGGAGGGCCGGGCTGGGCTTCCAGCCTCTCGGCACTGGCAGCCTCTCCCGGCGGCGCTGAGGGCTCTTTGTTGGCTGTGTGCAGGTCATCGAGCTGCGGAGGCCCATGGACTCCCGCCTGGAACACGTGGATTTTGAGTGCCTCTTCCAGTGCCTCAGCGTGCGGCAGATCATCCGCATCTTCGCCTCCCTGCTGCTGGAGCGCCGCGTCATCTTTGTGGCAGACAAGCTCAGGTAAGTGGTGCCGGCACCTGAAGCACACGTGCAGGACAGTGCTGTCTCTGCATGCAAAAGGCTTTAGAAAATGGTTTTCAGATGTGAGGATCCTCTCACTGGAGGATTTAAATGTCTTTTTACAGCCATGGATGTTCTGTCTTACTTTCCCATCTGTAAAATGACGATACAACTTCTCACATTCTTCACAGTCAGCAAATGTTTGCGCAGCTTTTTGACGCAACGTCATGCCAGCAATGTTTCCCTCGGGTTTTGGATGCAGACTACTCACAAAGAGTAGCAGAAGTTGTCACTGAGGTGCTTCACCTTTTGCTCATGCAGTGCAGGCAGGCAGGGAAGTGGGCTGCTAAGAGCTCCCCTGATTTGCTCTGTGCAGTACTGAGACTTCATGCTTGGGACTGTGTTTCAGTTCCTGCCCTACCAAACCCATCCAGTGGGAGTGTTAAACTGTTATCACAGTCCTTCCCCACTCTTTAGGATATTTTTCCTGGTGCTCACGTGACCTGAAAACATTTCCTTTTGGAAGCTCCATCTTGGGCTCCTTGCTAGAACCTTTCAACACACCTTTTGCTTCCCTGCCCTTTGAATGCAATTTCCCCTCTTTGTTCCTCTGAAGCATGGACTCAGCCCAGGGTGTAAGGAGTGAGAGCAACAGGCCACAACTCCACATGGCCTTTCCCAAGGAAATGGGAGCTCTGTGTAAGCTGCACCCCTGCCCCACAGCAAAGAAACATCCTATTTTTTAGATGCTTTTGTAATCCATACAGAAGAGTGTGGGTAATGTAAAGAAGACATTATTTTCTGTGGCATGATACATTAAAAATGGCAAATAAAAATAAAGCCTGTCATTTATTAGACTCGGGAACATCCAGCATCTTTTAAAAGGACACCAGAGACTGTATGGGAGGTTAAAAACACAGATGGATCTACCCAAACAAACTCTGCTAAACACTTTATCAGTCCTGACCTCCTCTGAATGACTGCCAGAAACAATAGCTGCACTTAGTGGCCGCCAGTGTATATAATAGCAAAAATACTTTGCATAGTAAAAGCTTTACAACCTTTAGGGGAGAATTTCTTAAAGCTGCAGACCCTTCTCAGGTTATAAAGTTACTTCCTTAGCAGTCTTTTTTGTGTATGGAATGACAGGAACATTTTATTTCATCCGTTCTCTTGTCAGTAACCCTTTTGAGTGACCATTTGGGATGACTTAATTTCACATAAACCCTTGATGAGAATTGTGTGACTAGTTTCTGCAGTACTTTAGTAGATACATGAATCATGAATATTGGGGCAGGTAGCTTTAGAAATACTGTTGGTGTGTTCCTTACGACTTTTCCTACAGCATGTTTACTCATTCTGTTTCTGTCTTACCATTCTTTCAGCACCCACAAGTCTGACTGTAATTCAGATTGACACAGATCTGCGCTCCTTCCAGTGGCACAGTGATCTGAGTGGAAACTCACAGAAATGGTACAGCAAAAGTGAGGGCTCTGCTGTGCTGCTGCCAGCTGCTGCTCTGCTCTGGAGTTCCCACTTGGTCCTCTGCAGTGTTGTGTGGGCCACAGGCACAGTCCTGCAGGGATGGCTTGCTGTGGGAAAGATCCTCAGCCATGAGGGATGAGACAGACAGCAGCCATTCCCTGGAGCTTTTCCCTGGAACAGCTGGCCTGGCCAATGTCATGTAATGCTCTGGGCACTGTGCAGAGAAGATCAACGATTAAACCTACTTTGACAGGCTCAAGGTAGCTTGGCATGGAAGGCAGTTGTGTTGCTGATACTGAGGGCTTGTGGTAACTCAGGACTTCATCAGGCAGCCAGGGTTTTATACACAGTGCAGCCCTGCCTGGAAGTTCAGGCTTGCCTGTACAATTACCTTTCTCTTGGTTGCTGCCGAGTCCCACAGGCCTTGGAGCACGGAGTAAGAGTTCTGCTTACAGAACTTACAGAGCTTGCTGCTCACCCTTTTGGCACACAGAAATAGGGCATCAGGACCAACAGGAACCAGAAATTATAAAGATCCCTTTTGGTAAACACATATGCCTACATTGTGCCCTCCTGCAGAAACTGTTCTCCAGTGAGCTGTTGTTTCTGTGTGAGAGGGGGGCATGGGATAAGGGCCATAACACAGGAGAAGGTGAGGATTCAGATGGATCCCAGAGGTCTGGGAGGTTTTTGGTTGCTCCTGTAAGAAGGGACAGAACCTTTCTTACAAAAAAAGTTTATGTTCATATGCTTTACTATATCCACATGTACCCTTTATTGTATGTATGTACTTGGTTTGATTTGGTAAGAGGATGACGAAATCTGATGTGGTAGATAAGGTTCTGCATGCAGACTTGTGGATCCTGAGCTATCCTGAACCCTCTGACCTGCTGAGTGTCACATGCTGGAAACACAGCACCTCTTTCTTATCTTTTGTCTGGTCTGTCTGGGATCCCAAACACTCTGGCATGGAGATCACTTCCTGCTGTGTGTGCAGCAGCTCTGCTTTGTGCCGTGTGGTCCCTCTCAGCATGGGGATCTAGGCGGTACTGTAAAGCAGGAACTAATAATGAGTCCTTTGACAAGAGCCTGGAGAAAGTGACAGTGGATTTAAATTCAATACTTACTGAGATTTTCATGGTTTAAATAGGGATGAAGTCTAAAATGAAACACTCTGGCTTTGAGCTAGTAACTGTCTTCTTGGAACCTTTGCCTTGTCTGTCATGAGTTTTGTTTATGGGCATCCCGGCTGAAACTGGAGTTTACCAGTAATGTGGAAAAAAAAAAGAGAAGTGAAATGTCTTACAGGTCCACTCTGTGTCCAAAGAATGAGAGCAGGAAATTAAAATGATTTTACAAGGGTTTGATTTCTGTGTGTACCCAAAAACTAGCTTAGAAATAAATGATGTTGAGGTTTAGGCTTCAAACAATAAGATGCAATGGGCTTTTGTGGCTGCCTATTTCTTAGGTCTTCCAGCCATAAATGATTTCACACATTATACAAGTCTGGAAAAGTCATGCCTGGTGAAGTGAGCTTCATTCAATAAGTTGTTATTTATGGTTCTTATAGTGCCAAGAATGTGCCAAAATATATTGTCCTTGATCTTTGCAGGAAGAGATTGTCAACACAGAGAGTGATGCTCCCAAACAGTGAGGAAACAACAGCAGAGTTCTGAATGTGAAGTTGCCCTGGTTAGATATGTGCAGTTAGGTTTGAGTATTTTCTCCCCCAGTAAGTTGAGTATGTATTTTTTCTGCTTGAAATTGGGTGAATAAATCCATGCAGCTACTTTCTCACCTTCAAAAATTAATGTGAATCTGCCAGCGACCTTTCAGAATTTTGCTTTCTGTGAACAGTGAAGAAGACACCAGGGAAACAAAACTAATGATAAAGAAACTTGGAATAATAATAATAATAATATCATCACAACTCTTAAAGTGGTAACTTAAGGCTCCAGTTCCTTAAAAATCTGCTGAAGGCACAGCTGACGTGGTATGCCTCATCCCAGCTCTAATCCCTGTCCCACTGGGAATCTCTGTTTATGTTCCCAACATTCTGCCTGTTCACCCCAACTCTGGAACAGTCCTGTGCCTGCCAGCTGCAAGGGGGAAGCTGCTCTAGTGCCATCCTCTGGGGTTTGAAAGGCAGCAGATGCAAAACCAGCAGGGCCTGGGGCTCAGGAACATTGACCTTGCTGCAGGCACAAAGGTAGCAACAGAAAATAAATAGAAAGCAAACATTGGAGGAAAAATATTTCTCTGCTTGTTTTAGTTTTATGCTGGGGAAACAAATTTGTGGATGTGTTTGCTGAGGAGGTGGTGTATCCATGTGTGTGAGAATAGTCTCTTTGCCTTTTCCCTGAATGTTGGGAGTGGGGAAGGGAAGACCCTGGAGACAGCAATGCCCTTTTGTTACAACCCCATTTTTTATAAATAAAAAACACTCTTTCTGTAATCCACTATATTGGGAAGGACTCTGAAGATATTTTGCTTACATTTCACATATGGGTCCAGTCCAATGCCAGCCAGAGTCAGTGGGAGTGTTTGGATGAGGCTTGTTTTTTGCTATTGATCCAAATCCTCCAGTGTTCCTCTCAGTGTCCTTTTGAAGACTTCTGGGGTGGTGAAATGCATCTATAGAGCCCCTGCTCTTGTAAAAGACAAAACAACTTTTCATTGTTCTGAATTTTGTTTTTTTATGAGATATTTCAGCTACTTCTCAGTGAAGCAGGAGCATGGGCCTCAGGTAAAAAAAAATTAACCCTACTCTCCCCACGGTATTTTGGACTGCAGGAGGAATCTGTCTTCCAGCACAACTGTAGAAAGCCCAGGCAGATCCCAGACCTGACCAAAGGTTACAGGCTGGAGACAGAAACACTGACTAATACAGGACAGAGCATAAGTATGTAAATAGTGGGGAAGTCATCCCGCAGGCATGTCTCTGTTAACTCTGGAGCAAAAGGGGAGCAGAGTGTACTTGTATTCAAGGGCAAAGGCTTTCAGAACACACAGCAGCGTTTCCCCATTCTCATGCACAGACACAGCTCAGGGCTGTCTGTGCTGTGCCCAGGATATTCAGGGAGTGGTGATGCTTCTCCTCATGTTTGAATCTGTTGTTTTGGGGCCATGCTAGAAACTGGCAGCAAGAGCTGAGTGGTAGCCTGGTCCCCATTTTTCAGTGCCTACCTAAAAAACATCTTTTAACCTAGCAGCCAAAATCATAGCATGGTCTTGTAGCTCAAGTTAAAATATGCAAATTTAAATTAAAGCGGCAATGTTTTAGTAGTAAATCATTGCTCCTCAGTCTAGTAGCAAGGTCAAGTGGAAAAGCTAGAATAGCTAAACTCTGGGGCAGATTACTGAAGTGCAAGCTCATTCTCTATTTCCTTATTGTTCCTTTTTAATTAACTAACGGAGGATTTAATTCTTACAAACGAATCTTGGCCATGACAGGTCTGAACAGCTTCACCAATTGCCTGGGAATGCTCCTTTCCAGAAGCTGTCATCTTGTAACA